ATTTACCTTGCTAGCTTTTTTCTCCTGCACATCTTAAATTGTTTTCACTACCAGGCTGGCTTTAGATAGGATGCTGTGCTGGAAGGTGGTGTAGTCCCTGGAGTTATTAAGCACCAATAAGTTGTATCTTTCCAGGGCTCTAGGGARATCTTATTCATGAAAATTTGCTCTACCTTTCATGTGCAGTATGTGTTTACACMGGCCAGCAAAAGTCTTGTATACACTTGGTGTGCTTCCTGTTCCAGGAGATGTTTAAACTCTGAGTGACATGGGTATCCCCAGGAAAGAAGATATTCTTATGTTTCTTCAGAGAGAATCTGATCTGTGTCCCCTGCTAAAGGAACAGAGTCCTTGGGGATCCCATCTTGTTGAACTTTTAATCTCACTTGAGTTAGCATGCATTTTCAGCTGCGTATTACTCTCTTAGAAATTTCATCTAAATTTTKTAGAAAACATTCAAGAATTCGGACCCTTTCCTGGCATAACCATGCATGCTTTGGCAAGCATTACCCCAGGARTGCATGTGACAAATGAAGCAGAACTGAGAGTTCAACTGAGATTTGCAGTGTACCAGTTTACAGATTTACACTAAATGCCATCAGTTTCCTCAATTACCTATGTGATYGTTGTGAGATAGCTGTGAGATTTAACAATGAGATACACTGAAAGTGATATTATCCCAATATTTACCTTCCAAAAGAAGAAAATATCACTGCATATAGCTAAAACCATGCTAACATTCTTATGTGCTGCAAAATTCCAGATCATCAAGATTGTCATATTTCACGATTGGTAAAATAGTGAAAAGCTCCAGAGACACACACAGGTGCTGTAACATTTTCTCAACCTCACATGTAGAGTTTCTCTAATCAAGGGTTTAAATTTACTAAGGCCTTAGAGCCTGSTAATGTGAAGAACTTACACAGGTTTTTATTTTATTTTAAGGGTTGAATCAGCTATTTCTTCTCAATATCTCTCCTTTTAGCCCTGCAAGAGGCAGGCTTTTTGGGAGATAGTAACAAGACATTGCTGTTACACAATCCTGTAACCAAAGATCAAGCTCAAAAAGAATTAGGTCCTGWTTTGAATTACTGATTTGAATTACTGTATGTCAGCATCATTCACACTCGTCTGCTACAAAAATAATTTGCAAGTGTTTTCAGGCATCAGATTTTAGTCAATACAGCAAGTTCTACAAAGTATGTGGTTTATGATGCCATTTGGATTTTTAGCTCATTTGTCCCACCTGGTTGACTGGGAGAGTCAAAGGTATTTAATTATACAGATYATTAGCAAGGGTTCAAGTTCATAACTTTCTTGGGCCTCAGGTTTTCTGTTCCACTATTAAAGTGAGGCATTCAATTGGCAAAATGAACCTACAGGTCACTGGAAAATTAGTTGAAGAGCTTAAGAGAATTATGTTGCTGAAAGTGATGAGAAGAGGATAATTATTATAATATTCAGTCCCTTAAAGAAATAATTATCATCTGAAATGGTTAGAATATGCTTACTTTCTTTGCTCCAGTTCTTTTTCWTTTTTTTTGGTCTAGACTGAATAAGSATTTTTGACACCTGAGTGGGAAAAGCAACCAYCTCTGTRWTCTCCAGTTTCATGTTTTTGCCAARAAWTCATCAGCTGTTGATTAATTGTGACTTCATTCATTGGTATACCTATCACTTTCTCTATTTAATTATTTTATTTATTTTTATTAATGGCTTTGCTAAATATGTTTGCAATAACTTTCTGTCACWGTCTTGAACTCTGTATTATAAATTACTTGTACCAGATAACAGACTTAAATCCCTAATTGCGGTCTTTTCTTGGGATCTCTAAAATCTTCACTCAGTCTTACTATAAGGAAGTAAATTTTTAGAGATAAATGGATAGCTTGAGATACTTCCCAGGCTTTCTTCAGTTCTTAGATGAATTTGGGGTTAAATCTTTACTCATTAACTTCTGAGGCAGAGACGGTAGATTTTCCAATTGGTGCTTGTATTAGCAGCTCTTTTTTTTTCCTTTTCTTGGTAGCATTTTATCTGAAGCTGAACTAGCATTAGTGAAAGTATTCAGTAACATTTGTTTATCAGCAATGTGAAGTGGATTTGAAGCATGTTTGAGTGSGTCAGTAGTGCCTCACAAGCTGCACTCCTATTGCTTAGTGCTGATCCATTTGCATCTCTTGGGTTCTGCCACCAACAGGTGCACACAGCTGAAGAGCATGGAATGGATATCCTTATGTGGTCTCCTAGCAGAAATGAAGGAAACAAATGGATRTATGGAAGTGTAGTCCTCTCCAGCAACAGCCTTTTCAGAGTTCCCTTTGAAGCTGAGTCAAACCCACAGAATTTATTCTTGMTGACATTTCTTTCACTCCAGAATGCATTGATGGAGTTATGCTRTTACACAAATGTGTATAATACATGTGTTCTTTTCAAAGGGCAAGGAAAATGTGGCATTTCATGTTTCAATGTATATCACAGTTACAAAATTTGAAATATTTTCCTTTTCTCATAGTTTGCAGAAGAGATTGGCTTTCTCCTGTATGAAAAAATCAGAGAAGGTTTTAGTGTGAGATGGAAGAATTTTATGAGTATTTAAAGAGAGAACTGTAAAGCAGTTCACAATTATTTTCACAGAAAGTTAGTGTTTTATCTTCACTGTCTTCATAAAATGTAAATGTGTAGCAGATTTGCCTTGCTGACAGGTTCTTCAAGAATTTACAATCTCACTTCTGCTACACAAATCAAGTGATTTGATCTATGTAGAAAAAAACTCTAATGTCTTGTTTATTCTGTGAGAAAAGCAGTGGTKTACTCTGCAAACAAAATATAGTATATGATACAATATCAGAAGGAAGAGTATACATGAAAATACAGACTCCGATAGAACTTAATTTGTAAGGGAAAACTAGGAATTGTTAATGTTAAATAAATGCCACTATGAAGGTTATCAAAATCTTCTTTGATAATAGTTTTGTTTTTTTTTTTCTATTAGTACAGCTCTTGTTCAGACAGGATACCCCGTGTATGACCYAGTTGTCATGCCGTACAAGAATTTTTTTAAATTATTTTTATTGTGATAAGCACCTCCTGGAGGAATTAACCACATGCTGATTAAAGCTCAAAGTGAAATAATATGTTCATGAGGGTGACATTTGTTCAGTCTCAAGCTGAACAAGAGTTTTGTTTATTTTCTCAAAATAGGCTCAGGCAAATAATATTTTGGAATGTAATTCAATGAGCTGCAGACTATGTGCATAAACAGGCATTTGTTCTACCCGTATTAATCACCCTTTTTAGCCATATCTTAAGGATTGCATGGGCAGTTTCATGCACAGCATAGCATAATAGRGAAATTTTCAAATCATATATTTTAAGTATCTGTAATTCAGAAATAATCATAACCATAGAAATAATTTTAATAGAGCAACATTTTTTAATTACTTTACTGTTATCCTGAGATTTTCCAGTTGTAGAACATTTCAAAGTATGTAACTTGTATTACCCTCTGTCTCTTACAAATACAGTATTTGATAAGTTTGGTCTGAAGAAATTTTGTTGGAGTTATATTGGTTACATTCAGTTGGATGTTGAATAAGTTGAATAAGTCAAAATCTCATGGTTTATCTACATGCAGTTTTTGGCTTGATACATAATCTCTCCAGACAAGAAACTGTATCTAGATTCTTTTACTTAAGAGTGGTTTCCTACTGTCGTTGGACGAGTTCTATCCTAACAATCCTTGCTGGCCTGGCAGGCCAAATCTGCACTTGTGAAGAGGCAAGAGAACCACACAAAATCCATGTAATAAAATAACCACAGCAATTTAGGAAAAAAATAACCTACCTCTGACTTCAATACTGCTCCTGGCAATGAGCTACTTAGGAGGAGGTGCTGTTTTTCACTGATAGCTCTTGCTAGAGAGCTGCTTAATTATTCAGACGATAAAATTTGAAGATGTTACCTTCCAAAAGTATAAAAGCACTGTCCTGTAGATATTTGAACAAGARCATTTTTCTGCAATAGAAACRGTGGGAAAGTYTACCTAATCCTGTAAKTCCTGCTTTTCTTGTTGCTCATTRTGTTTATTCAAAGGCCTAGCTCAAMGAAAAGTGTTTTACCTGCAGTACAGGTTTCGTGTAACATTCTTCCTCTCAGAAGATAGCTATACTAACTACTGTAGACTTTTTCCTCTCTCTATATTATTATTTTTCATCTTGTCTTTAATTACTTTGAGTTTCCTGAGGCAACATATTCTAAATAGAAGCAATCACAATTTAGCTGTGTGGGAACTCTAAGTAATAAAGCRTTGCCAGCAGCTCTATTTCAGTTGTGCTTTTTATGTTTTTAAGCAGTCAGCCCACATTAGCCATGAGAGTTCCTAGACATCCAAGAATATTTCTGAACATTTCAGCAAGGTGTGCTCAAGGTAGTGCCAGGTCAAGCCCGGCCTGCTGCAGAGGTAGCTTTTAAAGCAGAGGGAAATGTTAGTGGCACAGGTTCTAATTYAGCATTAGCTGCTAGATGAGATCTRTTCTTGCCACTTTTCAAGGTCTGTGACTTTCTGCTGATAAAGTTGTGCAAAGATCTTCTTTTGCATCCCAGGGACCAAAAAATGTGGTTATTATTTAGTTGTTACTTAGTTGTAACCATCTTCTTCAAATTTGTAAATAGCAGCTTGATTAAAAAAACCACAAAAGTTTATTCTGTTAAATGTCTTAATTTTACAAAATAAAAATTGGAAAAATATTTCCATTTCTAATTTCAGATGGATCAAAAATTCCAAAGCATTGAATCAGATTTTATATTCAGTAAAGTCTTTCYCATAATATTTTCTAGTTCAGGTGAAATAAGAGGCATTACATAAATTCTGAAAATTACTGCTGTACCTAATTTGAATCCTAGCATTAACCYAAAGATGCCTAATAACCAAACTTGATTCTGCTTATGAAAACCAGAATACTACATTTTGTCASTCACTCATTACCAGAGAAATAAAGCAAATGGACAAATTCTGTGTAATTTATCATCTGGCAAAAGTCAAATAGCACTTCTACATATTCAAAAAGTATCCTCCAGACACAAATAAATAATAAATRTATTTTATGATGGCTTCCAGAGATCACCCAAGTGAAATATTTGTGTTTGTGGAGACCTTCTGCTGGAAGAAGGTAAATCTCATCACTAAGTCAGCACTGAATGATGCCCCAGCTCTTTTAGGCAGTCAGGTTACCTGCTCAGCCCTATTTAACTGCAACTCTTTRGGAACTTATAACTCTAAATTCTACTGCTTTAATAAATTCCTTAAATAATTTTGGTTTATTCAAAAACAATAGTTTTGACGCTTTTAAATTTACTTAGGATGAATCTTGAGTATAAAGAGGAGTGCAAATATGTCCCACAGGAGGCTCCAGACTATTTAAGAAAACAGTATTTGTTTTTTCACCATCAGTCATGCTTATCACCAGTTCAGTATTAATATTGCTTACTGAAATAATTAATTTGAATAGTCAGTCTGGATGCACTTCTGTATTCTTCTACTTCACCTTTACTTATCATTTTCTGCTTTTTAATTTCTGTTTTAGTGTATGTTCACTGCATAGTTTCCTTCCCACAGCTGCTCAAAACTACCTGAAGTATTTTCCTTCTTTCCTTCTGTTCTGTGAACTACTTTTTATTGACTTTGATAATTTTATTTTAAAACCTTCTTTACCTCTGAGATTTTTTTATCCATTTCCTTCTCTATAAAGTATTTCTCAAAACAATGTCTTTTTAGCCTATAAACTCAGCACATGAGAAAAGACTGTCACTTACAAATTTCATGCCACACCGTACTGCAGCTTTCCTTTCACCTGAAAGATTTGTCCCCAGTAGAAAATATTATTATGTAACTAAATAATAATATTATTATTATTTGCATAACTCAATGCAAAACATTCAGCACAGACATGATGTGTGATCCCTAACACTATGTCATCTAATCATGGTGAATATAAAAAAGTGCTATTTCCCAGATGCTRCTGGTTGGGGCTTTTTCCTGGTGTTGTCATAGCTCTTGACTTCACCACACGGGTTATCAACAAAAGGGTCAGATTTGCCTCTTAGGACCTGAAGTACAGTAAAATTTTTAGTGTTTCTTGGCAGCTTTCACATAGGGGAAAACATTTACTTTGATATGCATATTCTCACAAGTCTCCCCATATTCTGTAGCAAAGCATAAACTGGACCTTCTGYGAAGKTTGTAAATAATCATTCTGAGCAAGCTTTCACTTGTGAAAAAGCAAATAGGAGAAGTAATCAGAATTTCTGAATTATAAGACTGGTTTTACCTTCACATTCAAGCACAAGGGTATTTTTAAAAATGTCTGCAAAGGCATCCCAGTACCCTAAAACCTATTATCCACCAAGAATTGAATTTTCCATTTGTTTGAACCATCATGAGACAGTTAYGAGATTCAGCCACATCCATCCCTTTAGATCATGTTTCCTAGCTTTCTGGAAAAGATGATAATGCCAAAACTGTGTGACAAAGGAAATTATATTTCAATCAAAATTTAAGATAGATATACTCAGAATTTCTGGGCAGCCACAGTAAGAGAAAAGAGCATGTAGCAATATATATAACCTGTCTCCAACTGTTTTGGATATCAAKGAAAGAGTATTAGAAAAGGGGAACTATACATACTCTTCAACCCCAGTACATTCCCCATTGCCAGCTATTTGTAATTCAGTCTTCYTGAGCCATATGTAGTCTCAGAATAATGAGACTTTGAACTTGTCAGTTCCCCTTTTAACATCAGGAAATTTTTTAATATTCAGAAATTAAATTATATGCTGCTGCTTATATGAATCTAGGTTTATATTCATGCAYAGAAAAGCTGTTCAGTGCTTTCTCATTTAGGTCTTGAAATGTATGAAACTTTTATTTAAACCTTGGTGATTCACTCTTTTGTGTGGTGAGTAGGATTTTCCTCAGACATCTCCATAAAGCTGTTTCAAATCTCACAATAGATGCAACCCATAGACCCAAACCTGAAGTTCCTTTGGAGTAAAATAATTTGCATTGCCTTCCAAATAACAGCAGAATATATGCAATATCATACCAAAAAGTTGTGATAGGTGCAGGTTCAAGCATCAAGGTGAGAAGGAAGGTGTCCCAAAGCTGTAAATCATTCTTTGTTCAAGGAGGAAGGAAACGAACGCTATAATTGGCATCTAGTTTAAACTMTGCTTATGAGTGTTTATAATTTGARCATAGCAGAAYGAAGATARATTCCAATACTTTTTCATCAAAWAAYTTAGTAAAATAATAGTGACTGAAGACTATTTCCATATAGTTAGTGGCCAGAAAGAGAGGGGAAAAATAAAAATCTGCATAGATAATGACTTGATAATGAGTCAAAGTTCTCA